GGATGTGCGTCTTAACCTGAAGTGCAAGGATCATAAAATATGATGATTATAAGATTAGTGTAAATAGTACTCCTGTGTATTAATATTTTAAAAACAAAAACACTTCTCACCTTTGACTTTCCTTTCAGCGGTATAAATATCACTCGCGCATTTCATCACTTTCTCTTTCCATTCTCGGATTTATTTCTTTGATTAATACATTTTTAGTACCTCTTCGCAGAAAACGCCTCCAGATTAAAACAGGGTCCATATTCACAATTATACGTACTCTGTGTCAACAGCAATAGTATTTCAGCAAATATAAGGAAAACGTTAATACGTTATATTGCTTTATCGCAGTGCGCAAGAAATTTACTTGTGCGCATGTAAATAAAGATGGTAGTAAATGGATAGACTAGAACTGGCATACCTTCAGTGATTGAGAATACTGGGAATAGTGTTATGAGCCCTTACGACTTATCCCTGTACAATCGTCTTATCAACCTCGTTCCCAGGCTTTGAACGAGGTTAGCCTCTTTTGTATTTTTCGCGCGCGTACTTACAACATTTTTACGTGATATCATATGTACTCAGTGGCGTAACGGAGGGGGGGTGGGCCTTAGGCATGTTTGGTGTGGGGGCCCCTGTTGATTGTTGTCATTGTTTGACTGAGATATTATATTTAAATTGAATATTTATAGAATGTTCTGGAAAATTCCGTGTCTACTGTCTATAACAATAATAATAACAGTCTCCAACACATGTAACAACCAATAAGAATAAATTTTGTTTTTATTTTCGAGATGGCTACCGTTGTCGATGGAGGCTTTATTATTTAGCATTATTAATTTTGCATTTTCCCATTGATTCTAACCGGCAGTTTTTACGTTTTCTAATTTTCTGGGTGATTTTCTAATTTTCTGGCCCTTAGTTTTTGAACTAAATCTACCCAATGAGCGTTACGCCACTGTGTGTACCGCCTCACATAGCAATAGTTTATAGCAATAGTTGTTTTAGACATTTGGGCATTTTATAATTACACGCGAGTAGAATTCGTAAGTTGTGATCGAATCAGGTGTTGATGTTTCTGATATTGAATTAGTGTATTTAGTGACCGCGCCTAAATTAAATGTCAAACCAGGGTTTATTTTAACGTGCAGTTCTACACAAAATGTACAGTTCTAAACCCATTTGTGCAGTTCTTAAAACACAAATGTGCAGTCACCAAACTAATAAAAATAGCCTTAATTAAAACAGTCTTCTCATTTATTCGTTATACTCTTGTGGATGCTCCAGAAAATTCCAGAAATGCTGTCATTAATTGAGCATCAAAAATATAAAGGTTTTCGGCTGGGGGAGGACTCCAGACCCTCCTATTTTCCTCACAAATCACTTACGTGCTGGGGTAATGGAAAAGAAGGAAAAATTGGGACGAGCGAAGCTCCCCAAAAGAGATTAGAGTGGGAGAATCTAATATTCTTTGCTGCCTCAAATGTATATTGAATATTCATGATTCCCAGTTACATGTTTTGAAACAGTTTTTGTGAGTGGTTGGGTAAAACAAATCTTTGCCAGAACTTAAGAGCTTCTAGATTCAAATTGTTTTGGGGATCACCCCCTAGCTCCCGCACCCAAAATCGAGTTTGTCTGCCGGGCCTTTCTCCAATTCTCCCACCCAACCACACCATTATTCTGTCACCTATTTGCTGATAAAAAATCCTTCGACCCCCACACCCCCCCCCCCCCCCAGTCAAACACCCGTTGCCTTCGTAACATCCCCATATGTGCAATACTAAATTTTTCTTAAAATAAACCCTGTGTCAAACATCACGGCCGCGTATCACGTACTACGTATCACGTGTGATGTAGATACATTTGGTCGCGGTCTTTAATTCGATATCAGAAACATCAAAAACTGATTCAATCACAACTCACGAATTCTACACGCGTATAATATTATAAAATTCTTAAGTCGTGATCGAATTTGGCGGGCTTTATTCATTAACGTTTCCGATATTGAATTAGTGACCGCACGTATAAATGTCAAAAACGATTAACTATTTGCGTGAGATGGACACGTATCACGTCGAACTGCTTAAAGACGTAAGGCGCGCACTACACAACGAGACAACCAGATACGATAATTTGTATACGCGCGCTGATTGGTCAAAAATTTATCGTTATCGTCCGACTGAAAAAAAGTGTGGACAGTGAACACCAACATAATTTTTTTACCAATCATCGTGTGTTTACAAGTTATCGTGTCGTTATAGTTGTGTAGTGTGACATATGGGCTTCAGTTATAGCCAGTTTTCTCGACGAACACCACTTTTAGTGTGTTAAAGTGTTTTAGTGAACGTCTTTCACATAAAAATCCCGAAAGTGGGCGACCTTGGAATCAGTTGTGTTTCCCAATAATCATCAATAAATGTTATTATGTAAGCACATGTAGTTCAAATGAACTGTCATTTAAACTATTTTTTTCTATTTTATGAAACTACGAGTACATATATCTTATATCTACGAGTATATATATCAGTCTTCATATCTTATTAGAGCGTGTAAAACGTGGAACGTTTTAAATAGTGACCTCCGTAATAGAGATATTGGCCTGCAAGCTTTCAAATCTGGACTAAAGACATACTACAAATACGCGCTATCTAATATTTATAACTATGACGATCCGCGAACTTGGAAATCTGTGTGCGTTAAATGTAAAAGGGCTAGGTCCCTTGATGGTGTTTTAAGTTGTTGTTAGTTGTCTCTTGCATTTTGTATTTTGTCTTAATTCTTGTATTTTGTCTTAAATTAGTTCGTTTCGACTGTTAAAAGTATTGTAAACGTAAAGTTAATTATGGGGTCGCCGTAATTGGGGAAACCTGTGGCGAACTCCCTGGCGTTATATTAGCCGAATCTCATTAAATCATTAAATCATTAAATCATAAATAATTAGCATGTCATCCCACTAGGCTTTGGGTGGCAAATTTTGGCCATTTTGGGGTGGCAAAACGTGAAGGATTAAGGGATGAGAAGTGAAGGAGTTTGTACTAACACTTAGTGAAGTAAAAGTAACTGATAAACAAATGAAGTATTGGGTTTTTATAAATTCACTAGTTCGCTTGTTGCCCCTTGCAGGACGGCAGAGAAGGCTTAACGGTTAACTGTTTAACTATAATATGGACGTGTGCTAAGTCGCTTGGGTATTATTCAGTTATTTTGTCTATACTTTCTCACGCCTGGTGGCCTTAGGCGTGTTTTTTATCTTAATTATTGAATTCAAATTTTCATCTCATCATTTTACACTTCGCAGTCATGACTTTGAGTTGGGCTTGTTGCAAAGGATATTCATGCATGTGATGAAAAGTGAATTCTTAATTATATCAGATAAGGACGTCAATCGATTGTGGATGAGCAGGGGTTTACATGCACGCCTATAGTTATACATGTTCCATTGATTGACAACCATCGAGTCTGAATAAAATTTTTTAGAGATCTTAAAATATCGTTAAAATTATAATTTAATGCGGAGTGGATAGAAAACGTCCTGTCTTGTTATTTGTCCAAAGAAACAAGAAACATTGAATTATTGCCAAATATGGTCGGTTTCTCTGCCCAAACATCTAAACATTAAAGGATTAGTGTCACACCAGGAATTCGCGGGCTCAAACTCCTGCTGGCGGCCATTTTTCGGGACGAATAGATTAGATGATCTGGAAAGTGTTTATAATCCGTCATATATTTAAACCATCCTTTTATAATCCTTGCTCTTTTTGTCTGATGTTTATCAGAAATGTACCAAACAAGGTATTTTTATCGCTATTTGTTGTATTTGAGTAAAATGTAAACAATAACAAAAGCCCGCAATGCATGACCTCACTAATCCTTTAATATCATGGCAAAATACATTATAGTTGCCCGATTTTTAAAGTAGAATCCCCCCCCTGCATGTCTCGCATGCCTATGCTCTTTTCGCCTTTTTGAAAATTATATAAGTATTGCTAGTCAAATCGCAGTTTGTCGAATAGATATGTACCTACCAGAAAGATACCAACCATAATTTATGAAGCATGTTCAGTTAACTGATCCAGTGCCAGATATTTTAAATTTTATATGCATACTTTATTCATTAATTAACTTACAATGATAGGAAAATATGTCATCACCATGTCCATGCGGACTTACCTGATGTTGTCATCAAATATATATATTCACTGCATGCAATAATCAATACGTACCTGATTACATTCATTAATTACGTGTATATAGTTATCCAATTTACAGACTAATAAAACATTTCCTGTTTTAATCATGATAATGATTTCAGTTGAGGAGTAAAATTTCAAAAATCTTCGTTGAAAAATAAGGCGAAAGCCAACAGTTTGTGGCGCAAATATAAATAGTGAAAGATTAAATAATTTAATTTGATGTAAATTTTCAAATTTTCTAGATAATTTATATACTCATTTTATCATGAGTTACTTGCTACATCCTGTAAACTAGCCTTAGGGCTTTAAGTCTTATCATCTTATCTTATCTATCCTATAAAAAATATCAAAGAAACGAGGTGGCCACCTACAGTGGCCAACAACTGTCACGGCAAACGAAATGGCCACAGCAAAATAAAATAAACTCACGTCAAATTAAAATTCACGGCAAGAGGCCAATTGTTACGGCGATGACAAATTCATCACGGCGAAAACATTGCGATTTTAGGCGAGATGCGCGTATTGCGGTAGTCAGTAGAGGGCAAGTGCAAAATAACCAGGACTAACCACCGAAATCCACAACCGGCGCAGTTCAGCTCTTACTATCAAAAGCTTCTTACCATACCATACCATACCATACCATACCATACCATACCATACCATACCATACCTTCTCAAAATCATTAATAATTCATGAGCAATTCAGCCAATGATAATCACCTATTTGATCACAAGATGCCATTAATTACGCATGCAAAATTACTTGAATAGAATTCCTAATTATGTTATGCTTGGAGTTAAGAATTCTATTCAAATCAGCAAACGAAAACATTATGTTACGTCTCGATTCATTTGAGAAGCCATATAAACAACTCGAGCTCGTGTCTCACCGGGATATCCAAACACTCGAAAACAATGTATGAAAACACTCGCGCTCGTGTTTTCATACATTGTTTTCTCGTGTTTGGATATCCCGGTGAAACACTCTCTCTCGTTGTTCATATATTACTTCTCAAATTCATTAATAATTCATGAGTAATTCAGCCAATGATAATCACCTATTTGATCACAAGATGCCATTTGGATAACCCGGTGAAACTTGATGAAAGTCACTAGTGTTTTCATCAAATATCTTAATTACGCATGCAAAATTACTTGAATACAATTCCTAATTACTTTATGCTTGGTTAAGAATTCTATTCAAATCAGCAAACGAAAACATTCTGTTACGTCTCGATTCATTTGAGAAGCCATATAAACAACTCGAGCTTGTGTCTCACCGGGATATCCAAACACTCGAAAACAATGTATGAAAACACTCGCGCTTCGCGCTCGTGTTTTCATACATTGTTTTCTCGTGTTTGGATATCCCGGTGAAACACTCTCTCTCGTTGTTCATATATTACATACCATACCATACCATACCATACCATACCATACCATACCATACCATACCATATACCATACCAAACCATATACCGTATCATGCCAAACCAAACCATACCATACCAGCTAGATTCGTAGAGAAAATGCGGAAAGCGAATCCAGGTCAATGATCGAAACTATCAAAATTAACTGCACATCCATCATTGACTCCTTCTATATTTTCTCTGAGCATCTAGCTGCTGTGAATACGTCCAATTGTCCAATTTGTCCAGTTAAATCGTCCAATTTATGTGGGAGTTTGTGGGATTTTCGATTTTATATCTCTCAAAGATGTTAATGTACCAGTTTCATGAAACAAAAATATGGAGTGAATCAGTGCCAAGCTTCTTTTTTACCGATACAGTCTCTCTATGTCTCTGCTATGAAGTGAAGACACGTGACATTTATCAAGATATGCTGGAAGATGGAGAACTGTTTAAGACATCAGGATACGCACGAGACCATTCTTTACAAAGTATAGAAAGCAGGAAGGAAAGTCCTTCAACTAGATGAGACACACGTCAATTCAAGAATTTGTTGGTTTGTGACCTAAGGGATAACAAAATCAGTCACTAAGAAACAAATTAGGCAGAGAATTATAAGGTCTGCCTATTTATCTTAAAAATGGTGTTAACACTTTAACTCATGGACATGATAAGATAGCCATGCATGTGATGCAAAGCAACTTTCACCAAGAGCTACATCTCTTCCTATGGATCGGTAAGAAGGGGGCGATGGAGAGATACTACTAAATCGACCAAGTTCATTGTTAAGATGGAGTAAAATATGTATACTTTTACAGGATAAAGGAGCTGCAAATGAAACTGCAAAAGCGACAAGAGGAAATGGCGACAAACTTTAACATTTTTTTTAAGAACACAGAAAAACGGAAAACAACCAAAACAGAAGACCTTTAAAGGACAGTAGAACTGTAATTTTAAAAACGATAATACTTATTTGCCATTACGTATTTGCACGTAATAAATAAATGACAAAAAAACATAATCTACGTGTTTGTTTTATTTAAAGATATTTTATACATGCCGTGGAGCTTTATCTGTCACCCATGCCAGTGCAACTTCTCGTGTTCTTCTGTGAATATTAGTGTTGCTTCGTATTTCCCAAACCCTTTCCCCTCGGGAATTGTTGTCACCACCTCTTCCTGATTACAGATAAAAATAATGAACATGAAATCCGACCGCCATACACCCTTCCAGAAAGTACGTCACTTTCGGTATATAGCCTCGTTTTCGTGTATGTGACATTATTTATAACACAACGTCTCAATCATCAAAACGAGGCTCTATAACCAAGGTGACATACTTTCTGGATAGGTGTATCGCATGTTTTGTTAAGTCCAGGTGCATTTTTCTTTTTCCCAATTCTATATTATTGCCAGTCGTCTGACCACTCTTCTTCTTAGTTCCTCCTGGCTTTCTGATTCCTATACAACTTCTGATTATTTGCTGTCCATGACCCAGCCATGCATGTCAGTTCTCCCTTACAGGAATCTTATCTCCTTTATAAAAAATAAACATTTAATGTATTTCCACTTTTATTATTTCTTCACAGATGCAAAGAAAATTTGTTTTTCGAAGTATGGATGCTTTTCCATCAATAAATATTTCCAAGTCAAACATGCTGCACTACCGTCCCATCCAAATGTCATTCAAACTAAATTCTTCCTTCATACCAGAAGAAATCCCAAAAGTGCTGAAGAATTGAAATTGAATAATATCAGTTCAATCATGACGTCTAATTTTGATCCATCTCGCAAAACAATTTTGATTGTCCACGGCTTTGCTCATCATTCCGAGAAACCCTGGGTGATTAAGATGAAGAATGCGTTGTTAATGAGATATTGGTATAATGTGATCAGTGTGGATTGGAGAAAAGGAGCGTCATATCTTACCATGTCGTATTTAAAAGTAAGTGTTTAAGACCGTTACTAAAATCTAAACAACATTAACTTTATTTAAATTTGTAATGCTAAATTATTATTTCTTTCTAAACTGTACTCCCTATGAATATTTCTAATTGAGATTAAATCAAGAAACTAGCTTAACTCACTGTATGCAGTTCTGTAACTAAGAACATCACAAGTAAGGTTTATCGCTTGTCTGTCCAGTGTTAATACTTAATACAGGAGGAATCCTACCTAGACTACGCCAAATTTGTAGCTCCATATAGGTCCAATTTGTAACTTTGCGACCCAGCCTTTATTGGTCCTGTATTACTAAAAGAGGAAAGTGTAGACAAACTGAAAGCACATTTCTTAATATATGCAACTGAGGCAATAAAATGTCTGGGAAAGTGCGGTGAATTTTCCATTTACGAAAACGGCAAATAGCTGATAAAATTCATTGTTTGGTATTTGCCTATTTGGCTTCTGCAAATATTTAACCTGATTTGGTGGAAAAACGTTGAAGTTGAATATGTAGTAGTTATATATATCTGATCTGAACACAGCAGCTTATCAAGTTAAAAACAAAATAAATCTCATCCCTCTTCTTCTTTTAGAGAGTATGTTTTGGCCAGGGCCGCCGAGAGCTTGGCGGGGGCCCGGGGCAAATTTTTATTAGAGGCCCCTATTTTAGAATTTTTGTCCGGAAACTTTTCGACAACTTTTTAGGGAAAAATATTTTTCCGGACGAGTACGTTGTAATTGCTTTCCAGCGACTTTACCTCAATTTTACTTGGCCCCAAAAAACAAATATCTTGCCCTTTTCGCGGAAATATTTCAACCAAAAAATGACTGGGGCCCAACAAAACATTTATAGGGGCCTTAGGACCTGGGGGGACGGGGAAAGTTGACCCCCCCCTGCCTCCTCTCTCGGCGGCCCTACTTTTGGCCGGTGTGTTTCACTATGCACCCACGATTAACATTCTGTATTTTCAGGCTGTTGCAAATGCCCGTCTTGTTGGTGCACAGATTGCATATCTAATTCAAATTCTGAATGACGTCACTGGTGTATCTACCAAGTCAGTTCATATCATTGGCCACAGTCTGGGAGCTCATATAGCTGGGTATACTGGGAAACGATTAGCAAGAAAAAACGTCACGCTTGGAAGAATTACAGGTATGGATAATATCTGTTATATATTCAGACGTTAACTTTGGAAATAAATAACACACTGTCCGTCTTCTGTCCCTGTATACTCAATGTCAGACATCAAACTAAAATTTACTGATTGTCAGACAATTGTATTCATGCAACAAGAGAAAAAATGTTAGTGTTCGTCAAATCTCCACCTGGAACAGTCATAGTCTTGATTATAGTTTTTAATTATTAAACACTTTATTAAATTGGCGGCTATAACATAATGTAACTAACTATAATTTGACTCACAAATCATGACTTTTAGCTCGAATTAATACTCATTTTTTTCAACTGATAAATTGTGTCTTTCTCTGACCAAGGTCTGGACCCAGCAAGGCCACAGTTTGAAGGAAGTCATGCTGAGGCGCGCCTGGACAAAACTGATGCAAATTTTGTTGACGTCATTCACACAAATTCTGCACCATTCCTTTTTGGTGGAGCAGGATTTCGCGGTCAGCTCGGTGATGTTGATTTCTATCCTAATGGAGGAGAATATCAGCCTGGGTGTGAGGGTTTATTGAAATGTAAGAAATGAATGTATTCTTTTGAATATAGCTACGTGTGGCGAACGACAGGAAACATTATTGAGGATTGACTAACTCAAATATTTTCCTTTTTCGATTTTCTCATCCTCGACTAGAACTTTTTCCAGTCTGGAAAGCAAAATCCTTTTTTTTGGACAAATTCCACTGAAACAACATAATGTTTCCTAGTTTACAAAACCGGGGGCTATAGGACTGATAGAGTAATCTGCCCGATAACTCCACCACTCTGTACCTATTTGGATACATACTGGCCAAATACAGAAAGTTCTTTATATTACAGATCTAGAGAAGCTGTTTTTTAAAAGGAAACTATGTAGAATAAAATGTGCTACCGACAGTTATGCACGTTCATGCAAAAGAATAAACTTCAGAACAAAAATTTTATTCTTCAGTCCTCGGAATTGAATTGAATTTGAACTAAAACGTGATTGTTCAGACAATGATAGTTAAATGTATGGACGACAGGATTTGTTACAAGATTGGTTCCCCGTTAATTTCAGTACTTCTAATATAACCAGCTTGTGGAAATATACAATGTAATAATCTGTAACTGAGCCACTGTAACCGAGTAGAAGGAGTGTATGTTTGATTTCAAACTGTCTATACTATTATTGTATGTTTTTGGTTGCCTCTTTAATTGTGTATATAATAACATCTTGCTGAAAATTTCTATATAGCAATCTGGAAAAGTGGAATCTTACATGCAGCGACATGTCATCATATGAGAGCAGTGGAATATTTTACGGCATCAATTCAACAAGAGTGTTTGTTCCCGGCGTTTCCATGCTCTAGCTGGAAGGAATTTACGGAGGGGAAATGTCTCAATAAATTTCGTGTCAGAGATATATCACTGATGGGCATGCAAGCAGAACAATGTAAGAAACACGAGCAGCCAATGTATCTGACCACACTGTCGAAATCACCTTTTTGTGGTATGTGAACAATCAGTAGTTTCGTCGTTTTCATCTAGGGATACCATAATATGTTTTGGAAGAACTACAAAATTGGTTCTGAAGAAAATTGGCAGGGGGGGGGGGAGCATTCACAGAAAAAATGCAGAATTCATCCCCTCCCCGAGGCCACGCCCCTGATGACAGCTACTCAAATTCCTTGCAATTTCAAGACCAAATGCAACTGATAATGTCTTTTTACAACGTGTTTTTGTTACTTGGGTTGTCCATCTTAATTCTAAGTTTGTATACTATTGTTCTTTTTCAGTCTACAATTATGTGATTCAAATATCTTATTCGAAAAGTGGGACAAAATATAATTCTGTGTATGTTCAATTAACTGGAAGTAAAAGCACATCCAAGAAGAAAAAGATTCAATTAGACAGGTATTATGTGTATCAGTGTATGTGTGTTGAAAATAACTAAATACACTTAATTTGGAGGCAATGTATAAAATTGTGTTGTATTTCTGTTTAAAAAACGCTTTCTTATATTTCCTATAGGGGATCTGGAACCAAACTAGAACTGACTACGGATAGTGAAGATGTTGGAGAATTGATTAGTGTGGAACTGTTTTACTACGGCTTTAATTCCTTCTATATCCAGAATGTTCGGGTGAACATCCTACATAGAAATGAAATGTAAGAGTATTTCATTTGTATTTGTTTTTTCTTAATCAATTACTAGTCTCATTCTTTAACCTATCTTGTACCATTCAGGATTCTTGTCCTCTATACCTCTTCTGTCGCTTTTGTCTACCTTCAGTTCCTTAACTATTTAGGTCTCCATCTGGGCAGTCGATCCATGATTATTCACTTCTTCTCCGGTCTTTATCGCCTTCTGTTAGCATTTATCTCCAGCATCACATTGTCCCATGCAACCCGCGCTCTGTGATCTCTTCTTATTATGGCCCATATGATCTTAGCCTTGCTTTATTCACTTTCCCTGCGATGTCTGTTACCTCCATCTCCTTTTGATATCTCCATTCCTCGTCTACACTAGCTGACAATAAAATCCCCATTACCTAACGTACATGATTCAGTTTTGTATAAGCTTTCTTGGCATTTTTCTACCACAGATCACTCCTGATAATTCTCTACATCCATTGAATATACCACTAGAATACTTATAAATATATAAAATAAATAATTACGCACTTTATTAGCATTTCAATAAACATTTTTGCATTCAAGAAAAAAAACATTCAGTGTTATTTTCTCATTTTAAGAGCCAGTCATTCTATTTTTGTTCTAGATATACTTCTTGTTTTGACCAACTCGTTAAAAATAGTTTCTGGCTATTCTGGAGCCTCTCTGCAGCAACGTACAAGCGTGAAGCTTACATCGGCGAGAACTGCGATACGACATTTTTCTAAATGCGTTGGTGTGATCATGTATAGAACGGGACAACATCGATATGCAACAAAGTGTTATCTTCATATTGATCATAAATGTTTGTCCAATGCTATATTTTTGGCTTACCATGCAGTATGTGCATACCAGCAAGTATAGTGCTTGAAATAGAATAATAGATGCCAGCTGGCGCAAGTCACAGGACTGACTTGTGCAGAAGTGAAAGTATACACTCACGCGGCATGTAGGAGTTTGATCGATGAAGGTATACATCACTCTTCAAGAATGGTTCAAGATTGTACAACTATTACCGAGTTATGATAACTGTAATCTCGTATGCAGCTAGTCTTCACTTGATTTGGAAATCAAAGATGGGAAAAAGGGGACTAAACGTCGTTTTCCCGTCAGGGAATGAAGTTGGACAAGACCAAAGTAGCACACAAAGCTACACAACCCGGCAGGAGCGATATGTTTCAGGTTTACCAAGCCTTGATGGTATATTTCATTATAACCATGCTATCGTACAGCAGATACTGTATATATTATTGCTTATTTTCATTGTATGTATAGCAGTCATGACTTTGGGAGCAAAAAATAAAATTTAGTAATTATGTAATATACTATATAGTGTTCACATTTCTGAAGTTGACAGCAATCTGCTGCTCTGTAACGCCAATTTTATTATTCAAATACAGCTAATTCAGAAAAAGTTGGCCTTCGAGCCCTTACGCCCGTATTCTAAAAGCTCACTCACACTCAATGAGTGGAGGTTCAATCTGAGCTTCTTTTGAGTGTCAATGCTGTTTTTGAATAGCTGGAGGGTGAGTAGTCACATAGTAAGGTATGACACTAGCCCTTCAGTAATTCAAAAACAGCAATGACACTCGAGAGAAGCTCAGATTGAACTTCCACTCATCGAGTGTGAAGTAGTGTGAGTGAGCTTTTAGCCATACGGGCGTTAAACTCGAAGCGCGGAAACCACAATGGGAAAATGCTCTCCATAGTCGTAATTCTTGACTGTATGCACACACGCATTAAGTTTTTCAGACTAAATATACGACAAACACACTGTGTTCCCATTGCGCTTTTCGCGCTTAGAGTTCAAGATTTGAGGTTTAGAGTTTCGAAGGACAACGTTTTCTGAATGGCTGAATGGCTGAATTAGCTGTGTATGTCAAAATGCATGTACATGTGTATGTGATCTAACGCACTTAATTATAATATAATCGAAACGTTTCTGTAAATAAGACACACGGTATTTGACTGTATTTTATTCATAAGAATAAATTTTAAGGTTGCAAGAGTGTAACGTTTGTGTTAAATGTTCGGTCTATAAGACTGCACGAATAAATGCATCGGTAATGAGTTCCTGCGAACTATGAGGGGGCACTCCTGCTTAAATCTCTGGTGAAGGGGTGAGGGATGAGGAAGGGTTCAAATTAAATTACCTGAAATTTTAGATTGCTTTTTACGTTACCTAAAAGCAGTTTTTTAAATTTAGTGTGGTTTTCCACGTGTACATTCAAGCAGGGGCGAAACTAGCCCCTTTTAATTGGGGGGGGGGTGTCTGCTAGAATTGCCCTGCGAAAGCCGATGTGCCCTGCAGCAAAAACATTTTTTGGCCACTATTTATTTCTGGGGGGAAAATGGGGGGAGGTCGAAAAAATTTTTTCCGGACATTTAAAAAGGGGCGAAAATATTTTTCCGGCCATAAACCAATTGAATTAAGTGTCAAAAAATTTTTTTCCCACAAATTCCTGTTAAAACATGCATGAAACCCTTATTTTTTTACCAATATCTGTAAAATTTAGGTCTATAAATTCTATTCAATTCCCTCTGGAAGCCCTGGAAGCTACTAAATAACTCTACATTCTATCATTTAAAATCTTTCATTGTCCTGCCAATCCAGATGATTTGCCCTGCCAATCCAGATGATTTGTACTTTGGGGGGGGGGGTGTCACACCCCCCACACACCCCTCAAGTTTCGTCCCTGCATTCAAGTAGCAGGTGTTTCTTCGAAAGAATATATTAGCACAATGGGAAACGGGGTTATTATAAATCTATGAAGATTTCGACCCTCGGAAAGCCTTGAAATGCAACTAAAATTTGGCATTCATAGCTTGTTTTCCCTTTTTACCAGCTTAATTAAATTACCTAGAAATTTACCTTAAAAAGAACAAATATTGGGGAGGGGTATTACACCCCCTACACTCCCCGGTCACGTCCTTGAAGGAGTCACATAACCTCGACCCGCTCTCTTCAGTATTGTACTTATAGCTTGGAATACGGCGGCAACACCGAACAGTCTTTTAACTCCGTTTCATGTCTTTCTGGATGTTTTCAAGTAAAAACATCTTCTAGAGATCACTGTTGTCCAGCCTGCATATGTGATCTATATACTTGAGATGTTATTCGTTATATCTCGATCGAAGCTGTTCGCTGGAAATCTTTAAACTCCAGTCCAGAACAGTAATTAAACCCTAGATAGTGCAAACAAACCCTAATTAGCTAATATCACCAAAATTTACAACTGTCAGAAACAGTACTATCAGTGCCTTTGTAAGGAATTTTCACGGGGGGGGGGGGGAGTGTGGAAGAGAATTTTTGTTCTTCCAAATACTTTTAAATAGGAACAATGCGGACCGTCGAGGTTATGGAGTGTTTTTATAACCAACTTAATTAACATTTTACTGTAACTGTAACAATGACTTATCTATAAAAGGATCAGATTGATTGTGCGCATGTGATTTTATCTTTGGTGGGGTAATCCGTCCGAGTTTGAAGCTGGGAGAATTTTGAAAACTTACAAGTAGCCTTTCTCACGCCGCCATTTTTGGGTGGCATTTCAGCCGAGGTCTGCGAGATAAGTCAACATAACAGCTACTTTTTATAATTTTTTTGACAAATTATGGTAAGTTTGCTTTGTAAATGGTTAGTTTATTTTGAAAAAACTGCTTTTCACATTGTTTTAATTGTCTGAATTGGTTAACGAGAATTGAATGCGACCCAAAATTGGCCGGGCGGATATTCGTCATCGTGAGAAAGGCTAATTGCATGGGATCACATGCAGAAATGCCATTTTGCACACCTCAGAAATATCATTTTGTACACCCTCCAATCACAGTCTAAATGGCCGAAAATCGGAACATAATCGCACGTTGGCGTTGCAAAAAATATAAGTTTAGGATTATGATTAAGTTAGGGTCCATAGCCCTGTCTACAAGTTGCTCAAAATGTCGAAAAATGGTGCTAAAAATCATAAAAAGTTGCCCGAAAAATGCTCTTTCTTTCTAAAAGTTGCTGATTTTAAAGAAAGTTGCCCAGGGTTGCTAGCTCAGTTGCGGTTTGATTTTGTGTTCGTGGTGTTTACCTGAACTGAGATCAAGAGTTCTAAAAACTTTGTTAAAAATTCTCACATTTGCTTGAACTAGTGCCGGACAAATAAGTGCGTTAGAAGTTTAGAGCGTCAAGAATTCCGGGAAAAATATCCCACTAGTGCACATGGTTCTCAGTTGGCTCATGGTAACAATGTCGGTATTAAATGTCGTAGAGCCGGAACTCTTTAAAGTCTAGGCTGGGGTGGGAAAAAATGTGGGGCAATGGGCATAGGCGTACGGGGCTGATGCTTTCTGGGGGAGGTGGGGCAGTTGAAAGTTGGCTCGAATTTTCAGTATGGAGGATTGAATGATATGAACTGAATTTATTACATTTTCTGATAAATTTGCCAGAATGTTCTTGATTTTTCCTAGCACTTGCCCGAATTTAAGAGCATCATAGAGGAAAGGTCCCATACTCCCATGAGATTTTTCTATACGATATAAAAACTACCCAACCCACCCTATCGTATAAATAAAAATAAAATAATGAACGGTTCGAAGTCAAATCCAGGGGGATCGGCTGAGATCAGTCTGCTATAGCAGACTAAAAATTCGGAATTCTTCGGAATTAATGTGTTTCTTGTAGTGGACTATGAGGGAACCAGAGGGAAGTAAGGGAAGTTCCCTGAGTTCCCTGAGAGTCAGTGGAAATCTAAATATGGCGACCGCTACAAAGGCGATACAAAGGCTTAGAAATTTTCTTTCTGGTGTAAGTTCCTGAGATTTTATATTTTGCATGATGTATATTACTAAAAACTGATAGAAGGCTTGATATTTTCCAGCAAAATCTTCTTATAGCTCAAAGGTATGCCGAACAAGTCTCCCCAGAGGTTGTGGTCGTGATCCCAAGGTCTGTATTTTTATTTTTTGTAAATTTGGGATTCAATATTTGTATATCATCTTTTCATATTGTATATGAAGCTGTATGCAAGAATGAATTTAACTATATGTATAAGTTTTTGTTGTTCGGAATGTCATATTTTATAAATATAAAATATTTATACCTGGAAGATAGTATTAATTAAATAATCATTCAACTGTCTGTGCCAGACTTAGTGTAGCCCGGCGAGAGGGGGGCAAAATACCTAGGGCCTGAAGCGCTCAGAGGGGCCCGGAAATCTCAGTAAAATGTTCGTATCGTTTATCATCGCTTTATGTTTGTCCTAAATGAAATACGCCTACTTGGCATGCACACTATGCGCCTGATTGTTGTGATTGATAGTAAAACGTATACTAAATGTGGATTTTTCGATTTTTTTCTGTGAAAACAGTTAGCCAAACATCGTTTACATCCCGTCTTTATCAGTTATGAGATGAGGTATTTACCTGTATTGAACAAATTTATTACGTCCATTTGCTGGTATGGTAACATGCATGCATGCCACACGTGCCATAATGGCACCAAAATTCTCCAGTGATTTCTTGTAAGTAATTCGCTGGCGATTCCCTCGGCCTCGTTGATTGCGATTAAAAAATAGACTTTGGTATTGCCATCAGCGTGAGAGTCAAGAGGGGTGGGGGTGGTGGTGGGTTTGGGCGGTTGTTCACCAATTTTTCCTGGTGCCCATGCATGGTTGCCTCTCGCTGGCCTTGGCCAATAATAACAAGCTTTCGTTTATAGAACCTTCACTTGAAACGTCGAAAGTCTCCTTATATTTTGCAAGCAGTTGCATCCCTACCAACGAAAGCTTGTCAATAATCATTGGTATCAAACTATCAATTCAATGATAAGGCCTCATATTTCCTAGTTGTTATATTGTGTACACCAGTGCTGTAAAAATTACCCAAAAAATGGTTGAGTAAAAATTACAGTTCTCTAAAAGGTAATTATATTTATTTTAATTAGAAATTACTCAAAAGTAATTAATTTTGAATTACTGTTTCCTAAATTTCAGGTTACTTTTTATTTTGGTGCTATTAACAAAATTGAACAGCTACAACATCAGAATGCACCTAAGCAACATACAAAAGCAAGGCACATAATACATTAGACATACAATTAAACTATGTTGATTTTGTCACTTAACTTGTCTCTGGTCTGCAGTAAACCCATTTCTGTGCAGTTGCATGACCAGTGAACCTTGACATCCGACTTCAAAGCCATTTCCTTCTGAATGTTTCAGAATTGGTGGGAAAATAATAAAAGTTCACAGAAGTAATGCCAAGGGTGGGTAGTAGCGAAGTAGTTGTAGTTTGCTACTGTAGCGAACTACAATTTCCAAGTAGCCAGTAGTTTTTGACTACTTTCTTAAAACAGTAGAGCTCTAGTTATAGCGAACTACATTTCGCCTAAAAGTAGCCAAGTAGTTGACTACTTTTCAAACAGCGAATCGCTATTCGCTACTTTTTAAAATTGTTAGCAACTTGATAAAATAGCATATTGAGACACAGGTTGCTTAAAATCAACTGATACTCAATAGTCAATTTTCACTCCTGAACACTGTATAGTGCTTACAAAATTGTTGCTTTGTGTTTACTGTTGCTACTCGTAAGTCGATTTGTTATAGGTTACATTTTAGCCTGAGTTAGTAGATGCTCCAAAAACTAAAAAATATAGCGTAGCGAAATAGCGAAATAGTTCGCTACATTTTTTAAGCAGTAGCTGTAGTCAGTAGCGAACTATACCTTTGTTCAAAAGTAGCAGTAGTTGTAGCTGACTACATATTTTTGAAGTAGCTGTAGTTATAGCGAACTACAAATATTTTGTAGTCAACCCACCTTTGAGTAATGCACAATTACTTTCTGCAAAATGTTACTTGTTACCTTAAAAAAGTAACTACTGTAATTATGTTACAACTCAACCTCATACCCAGGGTCTTACTTACAAAAAAGTAACTACTGTAAATAATTATGTTAATTACCAAAAAATTACTCAAAAGGTAAATAGTAATTAGTAACACATTACTTTAATAGTAATAAGTATTTACAACACTCTGTACGTCGTTGATGTACACAGTGTTACAATTGACCTATTATTTTGGTAATTAATTAATTACTTGTGATTAATACATGTACTGTACTGTCATACACTTAATGATTGCCATATAATTTAACAACTGAAGACACAAGTGGATAAAAGTTCTGTGAAACATTGCTAAAATGGATCTCTTACTTGATACAGTATGTATATGCACAACAAATGGGTATGGTTTGGTTTAAAGAATAAACTTTTAAGAGGGTATTTGTGTTTTTGCTGTGGTTTGTAGTTACGTAAGTATACATGTAGACTATGAATAGCAATTTTTGTGCTACCAAATGAGTGGCAGCACTCTCCCCTTGATGAGTAAAATTGTTTGGCTGTAAAAATTAAGTTTTTCGCCATAAAATCTACACATTGCACTCAGTTTTTAGTCTTAATTAAGCATGTTGCGTAATTAAGACTAAAATTTGTGGTCAGTTTTGCAGTCATAAAGAAGTAAATAGTGGTTATTGCCAAAGTATAAGATCAGTGCCTTGAAAATTGCATTTCATTGACCATTTTCAGTTACGGTTTAACTGTTTTTAAGTCAGGTGGTTAACTGGTTTTTATTTTAATCAAACTAGCCAAACTTAATTGTATATGCATAGTCATGCAGTCAGTCACAGTATAAATTGGGATGAAATGATGCATTATTAAGTTCATAAAAAAATATGCTGATTTAATGATTTTGTAATATTTTCATATCTTGAAATATGTGCAGACCAAATTTCAGCTGCAGATTTCTTCATCAAGCCAACTTAGTTACTCGGAAACATTAAGATAATATTGAGCAAGGGGAGGGGGGGGGGGGCTACCTACTGTGTGGAAACTCCCATCAGATATGTATTTGGTAAATAAACTAGAGCTGACCAATGGCAAGACATGACATTTCTTGACCATTTTATCTAGAAATTTCCCAATTCTGCTTTACTGTATTTTGTTCTGTATAATATGGAGAAATATGGTGATAAACCTTTTTTTAACTTTAATATGCAGTAAATCTAATGAACGTTTTCGAAATGTTTAGTGATTGATGCACTCTTTAGACACGTGGGCGATATACCAACAAATTATGAGGCATGCAGATATGATTATTCGGGTATAAATAAAGTGGCATAAAGCATTTGCGGAGGAGAGTGTGATTGATGTGTTATTTTTTCGCTTTATTGTCCAGTCTTCAGTGTCAAATTGTATGATTGTGTGCAATTTCCTCTTGTTGTCTTCCCGATATCCGGCGCTGACAGCAAGGCATAATTGCTTCCAGAGCTTCTCCGCATGCATATATTTAGTTTATTAAGTTTCTTGCATAAATTACTTTCCCCAAATTCAGGAAAAGCGCAGAGCAAGCTTTCCATCATAATTGCTGTTTAGTCCCTTAAGACCCATTTCCACTCAACATTTTGTAAAATGTGATTGGGCCGACACAAAATTTCAACTTTTAACAATAATATTTTCGGAAAATTTTCTGCCCGTGGAATTTTTTCTTGAGTGGAAATGGGCCTTTAATAATAGCCCATTATACCTCGTTTTGCGAGATCTGAGACAGTACTCACAGGTCATTCAATGTACTGGCCAATTCAGCACAACGTGGAGGGTGTAGCGCCCCCAACTTACCCTGCAGGTTCTCCACGGAACGCATGTGTGCATTTATTTCAGGCATGTACTCTGAAAATTGTCTTTAACAAGTTGACAAAGTAAAAGCATGTATCAAAAAGTCCTAAAACAGTTCCTTTTATTTAAAACAGTTCTGGTTGATGACTGCTATCAATAACAATATCAAGTCATGATTACTTGGGATAAGACTGACTTGGATTTATAATGAGAAAGCTTCGGATTGATGGGGATACAACTACCTGAAAATACACGGAGAACTTCGACGTTACGAGCTTCCCTCGGTCGGGACGTTATAGTGAAGTTGGTTATCTAACTTCCCAAAGAAAGGCCCGAAACGTCGAAGTTCTCCGTGTATTTTCAGGTAGTTGTTGTTGCACTTTTCTGTCTTACACCGCAAGACAGTTGCGCTTCGTGGGGACTGTATACTATCAGAACGATACCATCGGAAATAGAACACACACGCGTACTTTAAAACATATTTATTTAAAAACTATTCAATCGATAAAATATATTACAAACAATCCTTCTGGTTTTCTCTCGTGCTTTCAGTCAGACAATCAAATTCAAAGTCTAACATTTATGACATACGACACATTTCTTACGTCAATCAACTAAATCACCCATTGTTTGGTCTCCTACGGCGTTATCAATAGTATAATGTTACAAATTATTCTACACACTCCCCCCTTTGAACCTGTAAGGGTCAAACATGACTTGTGTTCTCCAACGTGCATCCAAAGCTGCTGCTCTTCTAGGTCTATTACTATGGACACAGCTTTCCACCTTACCCTTCTCTCCGTCTTTCTCATTCATTTCCGTCTTTCCTTTCTCATTAATTTTCGTCTTTCCTTTCTGGTTATCATACCCATCCACTTCATTTTCAACTTTATTATCCTTTCTTACTTCCGTACTGCTTCCGTTCTCATTTAACTCTACAGGATACAATTTCTGAACTGGTCTATTAAGATATACTGGATTTCCTTTAGTCATCACTCTCACTTTCGCTCCTCGAACCACTTCATCTCTACCGACAATTAAACTCTCAATCCTACCTAACTTACAAAATCCTCTCTTAAGGTTCTCGTCAAATACTAAAACTACATCTCCCTTCTTCACTTTACTATCCCTCTTCTCCCTCTTACTTCTATGATGCTCTCTTAAATTCGTCAAGTATTCTTTTCTCCATCTCTCCCAAAAGTGAACTCGCAGTTTCGCTAGATGCCTAAACCTACGCTTAACCTTTGTCGCATCATTCTCTTCAATTTTGTAACTAGTCTCGTCTGGAATTAAACTCAATCTACGACCAAAGATCAAATGATTCGGTGTTAGCACATCGTTTTCAACCTCATCGTAAATGTAGGTTAACGGTCTCGAATTCAACGTGCCTTCAACCTCAACTAAAGTTGTCAACAGTTCTTCGAATGTCAACTTGGCATTCCCCAGCACCTTACGTAAACACCTCTTTACCAAACCAACCAACCTTTCAAAGAATCCTCCCCACCAAGGCGCTCTCTCTAAATTAAACTGCCATTTCACACAATTATCTTGCATATAAGCTCTCACATTCCCGCTCTCGTACAACTTCTTCACTGCTTTCTGTGCCGCCTTAAAAGTTTTAGCATTGTCTGAAACAATAAGCGTCGGTGCCCCTCGCCTGCTTGCAAATCTCCTCAAACAGTTCAAGAAACTAGGCGCACTAAGATTTCTTACCAAATCCAAGTGAACTGCCCTCGTGACACAACACGTGAACAACGCTATGTACACCTTCACCATTTTACCACCCTCCTTTGCATACAACGGACCAGCAAAGTCAACCCCAACTTTAGCAAATGGTGGTGACTCCCGCACCCTGAAGTCCGGTAAACCTGCCTCATCAGGTTTTCCATAAGGCTTACCCCCATGTCTCTTACAGACAACACACTTACCAATCACCTTCTTCACTATTTGACGTCCTCGTGGCACCCAATACTTACCTCTCAATTCTGCCAGAGTAGCTCTGAGCCCGCAATGATGAACTCGTTTATGGCATGCGGATATAATCAACTCTGTTAGCCAATGCTCCTTCGGGAGAATAATTGGTTCCCTAGCTGCTTCTTCTAAATCTGAATTAGAGAGCCTACCCTTACATTTTAAAATCCCATCTCTATCAACCAAACCTAACTGTTTTACTAAATGCGGGAAATCTTTCTTATTCCTCAAACTGACTTGAGCATCCTTAATCAATGCACTCTCTGCATATCTTATCTCCTCTACTGTCAAATTACCTAAACAAATTTCCCTATCTTGTGATTTTGCCTTTACATTCTGTACAAATCTCATTACCCAAGATGTTACCCTTATTAACCTATTAAGCTTACTATATGCCTTAACATCAATTACTTTCCCTAAGCTGGCTGATTCACTATCAACCTGCACTGTCATTGTGACCAACTTCTTAACTTCCTTCAAACTATCTTCTGTTTCTATAATCTCTGTAGCAACATTCCAGTCTACTTGAGGCCCTAACAACCAATTGGGACCCTTCCACCAAAGTGCACTCTCCTTCAATCTGGATGGGGATACCCCTCGTGATCCTAGGTCTGCAGGGTTTTCTAGGCCAGGGCAATGTCCCCACTCTTCCTTTTTGCTCAGTCTTAAAATTTCGTTAACCCTATGTCTGACGAACTGTTTCCACTCGCCCTGGTTATTGATCCAGCACAGTGCTGTCTTGCTGTCAAGCCAATAGTAGGTGTTGCTTATCTCGACATCAACTGAAAGTGCTGATCTAACTGTATCCATCAGCCTAGCTAGAATTAATCCAGACATCAGTTCTAACCTAGGAATAGTTTGTGCTTTAATTGGGGCTACCCTCGTCTTTGAAGTAAGGAGTTCAACATGATAATTACCATTTAATTCACAGACATAATACACAACTGCACAATAGGCATTCAAACTAGTATCACCAAACCCATGTAATGAACATTTGGGTTTTCCAATTAGATTTCCATACACACACCTTGGTATCATAATTTGACCTACAACTTCAAGATCATGAACCCAACCTAACCATTGCTTCAAATATTTTCCTCTTAGTTCAGAATCCCAATCTACTTTGTCCAAACACAGTGCTTGAAACAACATCTTAATACTTACTACCATTGGGCTAAGAATTCCCAATGGACCAAACAACCCAGCTACAATTCTAAGAATATTGCGTTTGGTTACAGGTTGCGATTTTGCTTTCTCAACTAAACCCTGAAACAAAAACTGAAACTCATCAGTTGTACAATTCCAAGCTAACCCAAGGACTTTCTCTGATGTGTCATTTTTGCCTGTCATGCAAAGGGATGACTTAGCAAATGTTTCTTCACATGCCAAGTTTCCTCTATCAGGCTTGATTTCTTCCTTTGATTGGATTTTCTCTAGTACAAGTTTACTATTACTGAGCCATTTCCTTAGCTTGAACCCCCCAGAAGCTAAATTGTTACTAGAAGCCTCATATAATGATAATGCATGCTCAGGGGTTTGTTCTCCAGTTACCAGATCATCAACATAAAAGCCGTCCTTCAACTTTCGTGTCAATTCAGGATTACCCTTCGAAAAGCGGTCAAGATGGTGTTGAAGTGTGGCATTCAGCAAAAATGGTGAACAGTTCACACCAAAAACAACTCTACAAAATCTATACTCTACTGGCTTCACCTCATCTTCATGTATGTTGCCCACCCAAAGTAATCTCAAACAATCTCTGTCACACGGATCAATTTCAATGTTTAAAAAAGCCTTCTCTATATCTGCTACAAGCGCTATTCGCTTTTCTCTAAAACGCAATATAATGTGATACAACAACGGGGATAGAGGTGGCCCAACATGTAAGTAGTCATTTAAAGATCCACCCTTCTTAGTCTCTTTACTCGATGCATCATACACAACCCTGACCTTAGTGGTCTTTGCGTCTTTACGAACCACAGCATGATGTGGTAGATAATGGATCTTATCAGCTCTCTCTAACTCTACAACTGGTTCTATAATACCTAGCTCTAACTGTTCTTTAATTACTCTGTCATACTCTTGTAAAACTTCTGGCTCCTTCTTTAATCTTAAAAGCTGTCCCTTTAATCTCTGCACACTACAGCTATAATTAGTTGGCAATAAACTATGCCCTTCCTTCCAAGGTAAACTTACACTATATCGTTGGCCATGAAATGTATTGAATCATTTAATAACTCACTAGCTTCCTCTTCATGCTTTATACCTAACGTTTCATAATCCCATAATTTTTCAACACATGCTTCAAGGGACCTATTCTTTGATGAATTTACATGCCCAATAAGGTTTGTACTTACCTGTGCGCACGATGTAGGACCATCATCATCTTCAGAGCTACTCTTCAGTGGACCTGACAACACCCATCCTAATTTGGTTTGTACCGCAACAGGTTCATTACTCTTGCCCCTAACCGTACGCCCTTCTTGAAATAACCACAAATAATCTGCGCCAATTAGTAACTCTATTTCTAACACATTCTTGGTCTTACAAACATCGGAAAACCATAACCCTTGCAAATGTGGGTAATCTTTCTTCCTTGTCTCTACATGCTCATTCCTAATCTGTGAAATGCTGTCTACTCCATAAACTTCAATGCTAACACTCTCTCCCCCTGTACTGGGGCTACATTCAATTCAAACACTTCTCTCAACTTCCCTTCAACTTTCTCCTGTCCGAACGTTCTAATTTCTACCCATTCCTTCCTCTTTACTGGCACTCCTGCCTTCTGAGCTACCTTGCCCGTCACAAATGACCGTTGACTTCCTGAGTCAAACATAACCCGCACTCTCACATTCTCCTTTCCTCCCATCACCAAAGCCTGAGCTGTCTGCAATGCTACTCTATTTGCTGACCCAACGCACGAATGTGTGGAATGAACGACGTC